ACCTGCAACCAGGTCAAAGCTGACACACAGAAAGGGCCACTCAACAGTTTCTGTGCTTCCTGATCTGATGCAGCAGGAGAAAACAGTCTATCTACAATCTCTCTAATAGCCTATCTACTACCTCTCTAAAACAGAAACTGAGTCTCATGGAGCCTCCAGATGTAACTACCAATTTATAAAAAATACTTGGAATAGGAAGACAATGTGACACTAAGATGGAACAAGCCAGATCCATAATGTGAGAAATTCTGTAGAATTAAGGTCTGGCTTCCTCAATAAATAAATGACAAGGGAAAGGCAGAGGGATCTGAGAGACTTATCTACTAAATTCAAGTTGGGGACTTTATCTGTATTCTGTTTTGAACAAACCATCTGCAAAAGCCACACATATGAGAAAACTGGGACAATCTGACCAATGACTAGATATTAAGTGACATTAAATAACTATTAATAATTTATAAATTATAATAATGGCATTGTCATTATGTTTCTTAAAAAGAGTACTTCTTAGCTACACTAAAGTATTTATAGTTGAAGTAATAGGGTGTCTGGGAATTGCTTTTATCTGGGATGATTTTACCTTGGAAGAAAAATGAAAAATGATTGGTCAAATGTCAATGCTCGCTGAAGTGATGAAGGTACATGAACATTCATTTTAATTTTCCCTCTCCTGCAATGCAGGTTGAAAAATTTCCATAACAAAATATTAATGAGAAGAGAAAGGCCCCGTCCACAGGATGCAGTGCTGCCTATCCCTCCTGCTTCATGAGAGGAGCTGAGCACAAGCAGAGCCTATGTTCCTGAACCAGCTCTAAGGAGACTGTTTTCTGAATCATGAATATCAGGTAAAACAAGACCAACGAGGATTTGCTAAGGAGATCTATGTGACAATGTTCAGACCTGACTGGATTCGTAAGGTCTCTCACAACACCACTGGAAACGTGCATTGTTTCCTTGTAGAAAAGTGCCAACAAGAGGGACCTATTTCATCAACTCAGTTTGTACCATGGGCTCTAGAGCAATGAAAACCAGAGAAAGGATTACATTAAGGTTAAGCCAAGCATCTTATATAGTATATACTTATAGTTTTTAGCTTTTCTTACTAAAATACTTCATCAAACAAATTAGACAAATGCAGTTTAAAAATCATTTCCCATTTAGAGTATTTATGCTACAGACAGGCTTAAAAAGCTAATAAGCTATACGGCAATATAAAAACATAAAAAGAAGAGAGAATGACAACTCTATTATAACAAGCCATATATAAATCGAGGAAGGAGCAAGAAGTCTGCATGCTGGGCCAGCATCCAAAAGCCATTACAACTAATGGCTTATGTGCCAGGCCTATGGGTTGTGCTTATTTAAATTCCAGCCAGAATGTATACATTATAAATAATTCTTTCATAAATGCACTCCCCCACAATCCACGCATCCCAATTATTTCTAAGGCAAAGCATTAAACAAAAGAGCGGCTCTAGCTCCAATATACCACATTAAATTTAACACAAATATATAATTGCAGCAGCACTGTAAATGGTGATTCATTTACAAAGAGAATCCATTTAAAGACTCCAAACATCCACTTGGGTCTTTTTAAAAGCGTTGTGTCATATTCATATGAATATTTTAAACTAATATGGGAAGTACACGGAAGGCTTATTTTTCTATTTTCAGTTTAAAATGCTCGGAATTCTAAAGCCTAAGAGTCCTGAAACTTTCTGCAGTGGCTCGCCATTCGTTACTAGAGCAGGCAAGGGGGCTGCAGCAGCTGTCAGGGACAGCAACCCTGCATTCTTCATCTCACTCATCTCTACGGAGGGGCGGGGGAGGAGGCACAGGCAAGGCCGTGGCATCTGCCGCACAGCAACGTGCTTTTCTTCCAGAATAGCAATCATGGAGAAGCAGAAAGAGAAAGAAAAATCAAGATTTAGCCCATGGAGATCACAGGTGAGAAAAACTAATGACTGGGATTGTTCTAATCCAAAGGACCTCTTTTGATTGGGTATTTCTTAGCAACCAATCGTCTGGCAAAACTCAAGAAATACAAAAAAGGCCTAACTGCCAGGGCAAATGGCATTCATAACTATTAGTCTTCCTAATTTTCTAAAATAAGGACGATTTGTGTCATTTTCAAATAAGATACCCATTCTTTATGACAAACTCATTCATGGTCAGACTGCTTAAAGTTGATTGATTAATAAACAGATTTCTAATTTTGCTACCACTGGGTATATATCATTTCTTACAAACATATAAATTAAAAAATATGTGATGCAGTAGTTTTACAAACCAGAATCTTCTGACTGTTAAACTACAATTTCCACTACCATTGAGAAGTCATCTTCATCAGCCCTGAAGTCCCAGATGATATCAAGGAGTCCTCTAACAATAATCTGACTATGGAGATGAGCAACAATCCACACAGCTATGTGGATAACACTGACAGAAGGACACTATGTTCCAGGCACTGTGCTAAGCCAGGTGATGGAGCAAAGGAAGGCAGCAACCACGGTCCACAAGGAGGACAGAACTGCTGAGGCCTGTCTCAGACAGTCACTTCAGGGGGGACCCACATCTCCCAGTCTGGCAGTCATTAGACTTTGAAACTATCCACTAAGACAAGGGAAAATCTTTTTCTCCTTTGCTGACTGATTCTTCAAGACTAAACAGACTTGAAAGAAAAGTCTGAGGTAGTGGAAGAAATTAAGAGCCAATAAACATAGAAGGCAGATTACCAAAGAGGCACCTGGAAGCCCTCCCTCTGACTGAGGGTTCTGAGTCTGGAAGGCATTTTTTTTTTTTTTAATTCAGACATTTCTCTACACTCACTATTTTTACTTTCCCATCTTCCTGTGATTATCAGCAATAAAACCCATAAAATGAGAAGGAGTGATGATGCTTACTTGGGGGAGTAAGGAAAGCTATGGGCAGGATAAGTGGTGACAATCATCTTAAGGGAAGGGGAAACTCAGGCCACAGGGCCTTGGCACTGCACAGAAGAGCAGCACTCCAGCCCACAGCTGAGGAGCAGAGGAAAAACTAGGAGGAATCACACAAGATGGCAGGCCACCACAAATTGAGGGTGCCCAAGCACTCCACACAGAGGCGGCACCAGTCATCAGGGAAGAACATGTCACTGCCACCACTGTTCCAAGGGACCACAGTCTGCAGGTGCACTCTGAATGACTTAGGCCTCCTGGGGAGAAACATACACATAAGTAAGATGCACTATAAAAACAGTGTGAAGACCAGCAGGCAGGAAGTGGAAGCACACTGCTGGACAGCTCTTAGAAATGAGGTGTCGCAACACCCCTTCAAGGGGCTGTAATCAGGAGCACACACAGAGGGTAAGCACTGAGCAAGAGGGCTGAGGCACATACTTGTCATCCTAGCTCCGCAGAAGGTTGAGGCAGGAAAGTAGCCAATCCAAGTCCAGTCTTGGCAATTCAGCAAGACCCTGCCTCAAAAATGAATGTGAAAAGGGCTGAGTATAGCTCAGTGGTAGAGTGCCCCTGGTATGAATGCATGTCTGTATGAATGAATGAAGAAATGCGTGAATTAATTAAATAAAACAACACTAAGACAACTATTAGAATAACAAAACAATGAACTATGGTTATATTAAAAAAGACAAATGGAAAAATTTTTTAAAAATATTCAATTAATCTTAATCCAAGAGAAGGTAAATAAAGAAAAAAAACAGGTATGACAAATAGAAAACAGCAAGACAATAGATTTAATACCAACACATGAATGATTCCATTAAATGTAAATGCTCTAAACATTCCAATTAAAAGACAAAGGTTTATAACAGAAGATTTAAAAAGCAAAAGCCAATTATATTCCACTTATAAGAAATGCACTTCAAACAGAGACATAAAAATAAGTTAAAATTAAAGGATGAAGAAAGATATATTAAGCTAACACCAGTCAAAGGAAAGCTGGAGGGGCTGTATCAATATCAGACAAATCACTGTAAAGAGTCGAAAAAGAGATCCACATATATATCATCAAGAGGTTTTTCATAAAGGTAAAAAGGAAAAGGAGAGTCTTTTAAAAAAGTGATGCTAGAATAAACAGATATTCACATGGGGACAAAAAAAGCCTTAAGACTTACCTCATACCATACATAAAAATTAATTTTCAAGTAGTTTAAGCATTTTATATAAAAGCTAAAACATAAAAATGATCAATTTATCAGTTTAAAACATAAAACTTCAGAAAATTAAAAACTTTTGCTCCCCAAATCACACAAAACAAAAATGAAAAGCCATTGATTGGAGAAAATATCTCATGGAAGACTTGCACATAGATTATATAAATAACTCTTTCCCTCTTAGACCTCAATAATTAAGATACAGAGCTTAATTTTTCAAAATGTGTTCATAAATGAATGCAGCAGCATTATACACAACAGATAGAAATTGAAAACAACTAAATTTCTATCAGCTCATGAATGGGTAAACAAAACACAACTGTCCACTCAGTGGAATATTATTTAGCAACAGAAAGGAATGCAACACTGAAATCACTACCACACAGAGAAACCATGAAAACAGTATGCAAATAAAAAACTCAGTCACAAAAGAGCACATGTGACAGGACAACATTTCAATAAAATGTCCAGAATAGGCAAACCAATGGGGATGGGCTGCCTAGGGCTGGGCACTGAGGATGAATGTTAGTGACTACTAATGGCAATGGGATTTCTTCTTGAGACTAAAAAAGCTTTAAAATTCATTGTGGTGATGTTTCACAACTCTGTGTATATAATACAAACCATCAATTTGCACACTCTTAAGGGGATGCACTATGTGATATATATAAACTAAATCTCAATCAGGTTGTTATATTTTAGAACGTGTAAAAGATTTTGTGTGTGTGTCTGCGTAGCCAAGAAGCACAAAAGAAAAAAAAAATCTCCACATCACAAATCTTCAGGAAAACAGAGATAAACCTGACAGACACCATGGGAACATGTGATAAAGGTAAGCACTCACCTTTTATCATCCATATCAAGTCCTCCTGACAGCATGGAACACCTCCTATGGAGCACTGAGAAAGGCACATCACTTCTGGGTATACTCTCTACAGTTCCAGAATCACAATCTAATTTTGAGGAAATATCAGACAAGCACATTATGAGAGACATTCTACAAAATGCCTTGATCATTATTCTTCAAAACTGCCAAGGTCATGAAAGACAAGAATGGACCAGGAGGAGGTGGCAAGATGACAGAAGAGAAGGGTCACTTCCCTAGTAGCTCTGTGAGGTGAGTCAAGAAAAGTGGACAGGCAACTTTTCAGTAAAGTGGGTAAACAATCATGAATTAGGGGGAACATCACTGAAAATACTGGACATTCAAAACAGATTAGGTACTCCAGAAATTATATATAATAAAACAAAGAGGGAAGACCTTAGCCCCATAGTCACAAAAGTAGCTGAGGTGAAAACCAGAACAGTCCCTAAAAGAATGCAGTAAAGCAATAAAGGAATTAAAGGAATCCCCATTCTTAGGAAGACTGAGGCATGTCCGGGTACACAGAGGTTAGAGATCAGAGACACTGCTCAAAAAAACAGTAAGCTGTGCTGCACAGTATCTGTGAAAGGGGAGGGAAATCGCCATCTCTCTCAGTGGCATGAAATAGCAAAGCAGAAGGAACTATTTTGGTAGCTGCAGCTTGGGGGCTAGCAACTAGAAAAACAGATTACTAAAAATCCCAAGTCTGGACCAAAAAACAAGACAGGCAAACCCACACTGCATGACCAAGAGTGTACCTAAGTCACCAGGAGAAAATGAAGCCTGGAAAGAGATTTACACAGGAGAATACTGGTCGCACAAACCCACCTGGCTCCCCCTGAACCTCCAATCTGGCTGCTTGCAGGACCAGCTGGGAAAGAAGCACCTGGCGAGGAAAATGAAATGGCGGGGGCAGGACAGATGCAGCTCAGACACCGAATCTGAGACCAGGAATTGTGGGGTCTATAGGCAAAATAGTGTACTAAGAACAGGCTCCTACACCAAATGAGTGGACAATGAGATCCCTGGGGTGCAATCTTCCAGCATGAACCAGCAATGGCTGAGTCTTAAAGGTGCACTGACTTAAAATCTCCAGACCAACTGGCATGCAGCAAGGATACTGAGCATACCAAGCCTACGTCCTCCTCCAGGAACTCAGCTTCCAGGACTAACCCTCTCACCCTATCAACCCCATGGACTCTGAGGGTGAAGCAAGCATCAAACTCCAGAAAATCTCACCTAACTGCTGAGAAGGGAAGCTGAGAAACTTTTGAACTCCAACAGAAACAATAGTTCGAGTTTTCATCAAGATCCCTTTTTTTTTTCTTTTTTCTATTCTCTCTCACATTTATACCATCTTTGAAATGGAAATACTTTTCATGCATCAGTTTATTGAGCACTAGGATCTATGAATAGAATGTTACAGTTTTCTTGTGTATTCTCTTTTTTTAACTTTTTCTTTTTCTTTTTAATTTTTTTAACAATTTTTACTTTATATATATTTTTCATCTCCCTATCTGTTTCCCTGGATTCTCTTTCTCTCTTTTCTCCTTAATTAATTAATTAATATTAATTAATTCCTCTTTCAGTCATATTAATTCCTCTTTCAGTCTTCCTATATTTTTTACTTCTATCTTCTCTCTTCCTTCCCCATGAATATCACATCATAAACCACTTTGGTTTTCTCTTGTCCACTATTTGAACTTGTAAATCCTTTGCAAACTTGAAATTGTAAACCCTTTTGTAAAAGAGAGATTCTCAAAAAAAAAAAAATCAAGCAAAAATCCTTGAAATGAAGAAAGCAATAAATAAATTAAAAATTCAATGGAAAGCATGACCAACAGACTACACAGAACATCAGACAATGAAGATAAAATATATAATCTTGAAAACAGAGTTGATCATGGAGAGAAGATGTTAAGAAATCATGAACAGAAATTCTAAATGTCTAAATTATTGTAGGCAATAATTGAATATATCATTTCTGTTTGTTGCAACAAAACAGTAGATGTCTGAATAGGAACTATATGGCTTAAGGTTGTATATTCTTTGCACTGGGTGCTGTTAATAATTGGCCTCCTGCTTAAAGGTGCGATACTATAAACTTTCAAGGATACTGTAAGTCTACAGGGAAGAAACTATACTGCCCTAGATCCACAATGCTAGAGGGATAGACACACAAAATACATGAAAAAACAAGGGAATAAATCACCCCAAACAAACCAAGATGCTCCAATAGTAGAATCCACTGACACAATAGTAGAAAAAATGTCAGAGAAGGAGTTCAGAATGTACATAGTTAAACCAATCTGCAACATACAGAACAATGTAAGGAGCGAAATCAGAGAGAAAATCCAGGAATTGAGAGATCACTTCAATAAAGAGAGATTCTCGGAAAAAAAAAAAAGGTAAAGCAAAAATCTTTGAAATGAAGAAAGCAATAAACAAATTAAAAATTCAATGGAAAGCATGACCAATGGAAAGACTATACCACTTGGAAGACAGAACATAAGGCAATAAAGATAAAATATATAATCTTGAAAACAGAGTTGATCATGGAGATAAGATGTTAAGAAATCATGAACAGAAAATTCTAAGAATTATGGGATAACATGAAAATACCAAATTTAAGATTTATCGGGATAAATGAAGGGGTAGAGTTACAAACCAAAGGAATACACAATCTTTTCAATGAAACGATATCAGAAATTTCCCCAAACCTAAAGAATGAAATGGAAAATCAAATGTAAGAGGTTTACAGGACAACAAATGTACAAAATTACAAAACATCCACACTGAGGCACATTATTATGAAAATGCCTAACATATAAAATCAAGATAGAATTTTAAAGGCTGCCAGAGTAAAACAATAGATCAGTTTTAGAGGGAAGCCAACACACTTCTCAGTTGATTTTTCAACCCAGACCCGCAGAGCTAAAAGGTCTTGGAATAATATATACATCAAGCTCTTAAAACATGAATGCCAGCCAAGAATACTATACCCACCAAAATTAAGCTTCACAATTGATGATGAAATTAAAACCTTCCAAGATAAACAAAAGTTAAAAGAATTTACAACTAGAAAGCCTGCACTATGAAACATATTCAATAAAATATTTCATAAAGATGTAATGAAAACTAAAAGCAAAAGCCAGCAAAGGGTGGAACTACACAAAAAGAATAGTCAGTCAAAGGAGACACTAATTCAAATTAAAAACTAGAAATAAATCAAAATGACAGGGAATAAAAATCTTTCTCAATAATCACACTGAATGTAAATGGCTTAAATTCATCTATCAAAAGACACAGACTAGCAGACTAAAAGACAAGACCCAATAATATGCTGTCTCCAAGAGACTCACCTCATGGGCAAAGACATCCACAGACTGAAGGTAAAAGGATGGGGAAAAAAATACATCATTCACATGGATCTTGTAAAATAAGTAGGGGTTTCTATCCTCCTATCAGATAAAGTGGACTTCAAGTCAAAGTTAATCAGATAGGACCAAGAAGGACATTTCATACAGACATATATGGAATAGTTGTATCCATCAAGGAGCGAATACACTTTCTTTTGCATAGCACACAGATGCTTCTCTCAAATAGAGCATGTATTAGGCCATAAAGCAACTCTTAGCAAATACATAGATTAAAAAAAAAACAGATAATACCTTGCATCCCATCAGATCACAATGAAATGAAGTTAGAAATCAATGATGAAATAAAAAATAGAAGCTACCCTAACACCTGCAGACTAAATAATATGCTAGTGAATGACAAATGAACAGCAGAAGAAATCAGGGATGAAATTAAAAAATATTTAGAGGTAAGTGAGAATAGTGATAACATATCAAAATTTCTGGGACACTGTGAAGGCAGTGCTAAGAGAAAGTTCACTGCATTGAGCTCATTCATTAAAAGAATAAAAAGTCAACAATTCATGACCTAATATTATATATCAAAGCCCTAGAAAAAGAACAAATAAATACCAAAGCATTAGAAGACAGGAAATGATTTTTAAAAGAGCTGAAATCAATGAAATTGAACCAACAACAAAAAGTAATCCAAAGAACTGACAAAAAAAATTTCTTTGAAAAAAACAAATAAAATTGATAAAACCTTAGCAAAAATAAAAAGAAAGAAAAAGGAAAAGAAAATTCAAATTACTAAAATTTATGATAAAGGAAATATCACAATGGACAGTACTGAAATACAGATGATAATCAGAAACTATTTTGAAAATTTATACTCCAATAAAATAGAAAATATTGTAGACATCAACAAATTTCTAGAGTCTTATAACATACCCAAACTGTATCAGGAGGACATACACAATTTAAACATATCTATTTTAAGCAATGAAATTGAAGACACCATGAAAAGTCTACCAATTAAGAAAAGCCCAGGACAAGACAGATTCTTAGCCAAGTTTAGAAGACCTTCAAAGAAGAATTAACACCAATCCTCCTCAAATTATTCCATGAAATAGAAAAGGAGGGAACCCTTCCAAACGCATTCTTTGAAGGTAGTATTACCCTGATACCTAACCAGACAAAGACACAACAAGGAAAGAAAACTTCAGACCAATATCCCTGATGAATATAAATGCAAAAATCCTCAAAGAAATTCTGGCAAATTGCATACAGCAACATATTTAAAAGACAGTGCACTAAATCAAGTAGAGTTCCTTCCAGAGATGCAAGATTGGTTCAAAATATGGGAATCAATAAACGTAATTCATCACCTCAACAGGCTAAAAGACAAGAATAACATGATTACCTCAATAGACGCAGAAAAAGAATCTGACAAAATACAGCACTCATTCATGTTCAAAACACTGGAAAAACTAGGGATAACAGGAACAAACTTCAACATTGTAAAAGCTATATATACTAAGCCCAAGGCCAACATCATTCTAAATGGAGAAAAATTGAAAACATTCCTTCTAAGAACTGGAACAAGACTAGGATGTCCTCTTTCACCACTTTTATTCAACATCCTCCTTGAAACTCTAGCCAGAGCTATAAGACAGAAGAAAGAAATTAAAGGGATATGAATAGGAAAAGAAAAACGCAAACTATCACTATT